AAATCAATTTCCATTTGCTGTGTTCAGGCATGGAAGAAAGGATTGTGAGCAAGTCTTCCATATTTGTTGCTTATTCATTTGATATTGTTTTAAATTATTGTAAGATTTATGTATTAAATAGTCCTATGCTTATGCAACTAATGTGTGCTAATGTTTTTTCCCCCAGCTAGATGGCCCAATTTTCTGTGTGTTTGTTCAGTGTTCTCATCGGGCTCAGTTCAACTTCACTGGTCCCAGTGGCCTCCTAGTAAGAATGACACTACACCAAAGTGGTTTTGCACTAGTAAAGGACTTTTGGGTTGTGGGCCCAGTGGGATTATGGCTGGTGATGCTATCATTACAGACAGTGGTGCCATGCATGTAGCAGGTGTACCAATTGTTAATCCGTCCACCATTGTAGTTTGGGAGGTCACACCTGGGCCTGGAAATGGTTTCCAGGTAGCTCCAAAGACAAGTACCACTTGTGCCGTCCCACCTCTTAGCCCACCCAACTGGGCTGGTTTTGCACCTTTAGCTGCATATTTATTTAGCTGGCAGGATTATCTATTATCTGAAGCTAAGCAAGGGAAAAAACAGACAGACCAAAACCTTCTTGATGCTGTTCCTCTCTATTGCTCACCAGTTTCAAATTTTTCAGCGTATGTGAGTCCTGAAGCTGCAGCTCAATCTGCAGCAACTACTACATGGGGTTCTGGTGTAACAGCAGTAGCCTTTGATCCAACTCGTGCTGGTTCAGTGATAGCTGTTGTGATAGTTGAGGGTATGAAGATGATTCTGATGTGAATATATACAATGATAATGTTTCAATCCCTTATATTTCTGTTGTATACTTTTTGGTTTAAGGCTTCCTTTCAATAATATTGTGGTCTTTGTTGAAGTGAAAATTCTTACTCTATGCATTTTAAAGATTACAGTTGTTTGACCAAGTCAGCTCTTACAGTGTGGGATTTATAAGTAAAGCGCATTTAAGTTTTCTTTTATTGTCGTTAAAGTCATATTTTGTCATTTAAAATGTACTTAATCTGGTGTGAATCAAAATAAGCATCCCTAATTTAAAAGAAAAGAAATGTTACATAAAATGATAATGGACTGGATAAAGCATTATCAAGTTCCTTCCTTCTAACAGTGTTTCCAATGTCTCATTGTTCATGCCTGGGCAACCTTAGCTTAGATCCGCCTAAAATTGCACCCTATACCTGTCTTACCTTCTTGGTCCTCTATGGTGTGACAATACTGGCCGTGATTGAAAAGTTTGTCAGGATTTTACACTAAGGGTTTTATGTGCTGCTTAGATAATTGAACTAAAAAATTGATGTATATCTGATTTACCTGTACAGGGCAATACATGTCCCCATATGATCCAGACGAGGGCCCATCAATTACAGGGTGGAGAGTGCAACGTTGGGAATCATCTCTACAGCATGTTGTTCTCCATCCTATATTTGGAAACCCTACTTCTAGTATGGGTGGTCAATCACCTATGCAAACTGTTTGGCAGTCCAAAGTGGACCTGAGTATAACTCCAACAAATGATTTCAAGAGCCATCAATCACCTGCAACTGGAATGACTTCTGATGTGCAAAAGGTGTCTGAGGCTGGTTCTGACAAATCAACAAGGGTGAATTTTGATCCGTTTGATCTTCCAAGTGATGTCAGGACACTTGCCCGGGTTGTTTACTCTGCTCACGGTGGTGAAATTGCTATTGCTTTTCTTCGTGGTGGTGTCCATGTTTTTTCTGGTCCAAATTTTACACCTGTAGACAACTATCAGATTAACGTTGGTTCTGCAATTGCTGCTCCGGCTTTTTCTTCAACAAGCTGTTGTTCAGCTTCTGTTTGGCACGACTCTAGCAAAAATTGTACAATATTGAGAATAATAAGAGTTCTCCCTCCTTCTATTCCCATTAGTCAAGTAAAAGCCAATTCATCAACTTGGGAACGTGCAATTGCTGAAAGGTTATTTCCTTAATCCCTTCTAGTATATGATATATTAACTGTTTCTTAATATTCTTATTAAGTTGCAGCGGCTTCAATTATAAATACTGTGTCTGGTTGTGGAAGTTGTGATTTTTTGTCAATGTTTTACATGATTGCCTGGTGCTAACATCTGTTACAAAAACAGGTTTTGGTGGAGCCTTTTAGTAGGAGTTGATTGGTGGGATGCTGTGGGCTGCACCCAGAGTGCTGCTGAGGATGGTATTGGTAAGGCAGCTCTCCTTGTCAAGATCTTTTGCTATTTTTTGGTCTAGTTTTTGCCAGAGAAAGGAGAATATAGCTTACTGTTTCATATTTGTACTCTATTAGCAAGTGACCCTTTTTTTTACCTGGTTTCAGTTTCACTTAACAGCGTTATTGCAGTTTTGGATGCGGATTTCCATTCTCTCCCTTCTATTCAGCACAGGCAACAGTATGGTCCTGTATGTTACTGTTGAACCATCACCTTTTCAACATTTTTGACATTGGTTTTAATAGTTTTACTAAAATTTCCTCTTTTGAATTTCTCATTTTTAGTTTCAGAGGGGGTTCATTCTTTTCCAATTAACTGTAGTGAGAGAGAAATTGTTCCGTATTAACTGTGGGTGGAATCTTTCTGGGATACAACGTAAGATGGAATTTTGGACCCAGCAGCAAGTGTTTGTTAGGTTTCTTGGCGACAAGAAACCATATTTCAAATTCAGTTTAAGAAATTATCACACAAATCTTACTGCACAATGTATGATCACACTTTAATTAGGAAAAACATAATACAGAAAACATCCAATAACTTCCAAGGGAAGAAAATCCCTTCTACACAGGTCAAGTCCTGTTCTAAAACGAAAAATACCCACCAGCCAGGAGGGACATTTCCTCCTTTAAAGATAACCCCTACTAAACTACTTCCGCAAACCACCTATAAGGTGGCTAACTAATGTTAACTTGTTTTGTAACTTTTATTTTTGAACTTTTTTTCTAACATACACCTTAAGAGCCTTATCAATACTCTTCAGATTCCGAAAAACCTTGTTCTCAAGGTGAAAATCTGGAACTTGATCATGAATGGTCCCTTTATCTGTGATCCTTATCTTCTTTTTCTGGTTCCTCTTCCTCTTCATTCTCCTCTAAAATTAACACCCGAAGGTTCTTATTGGGACATTTATGATGAGGACTATATGGTCCTCCACAATGAAAACATAGGCCTTCTTCTCTTCGCTTAATATATTCAGGGTCAGGTAAATTCCGCCATCCCCTTGTTCTGTTTTCTCCTGGATGCTAACTGGCTCATCTTAAACTCTAAGGTTACTCCCCCTTCATCTCTTCAAGCCTTGCTAATATGACTAGAACTTCCCTATGCAGTTTGAGTCCCCTTTAACGTTTCTACCCAAGAAACCACTCCCCCACTCCCTTAAAAACGTCCTTGATACAAATTACTTCTAGTTTTTATCCTCTCATATGACCTTTTACATCACTAGAAACTCCTTCCACATCTCCAGTGATCTCCATGGCTCTCAATAGATCCTTGGAATTGTGTGGGCGGATCTGGTTTCTAATATTAACATGCAATCCTGCAAAAAAGTATCCCATCAGTTGATCATATGTCGCGTCCGCTGCTTGTCCCACCACTAACATCTCAAATTCTTGTATGTACTCTTCCACTTCACCTTTTTGTTTGACAGCCTCCAATTTTTCAAACACCAATGTCTCAAAACCATCTTTATTAATGCTTCCGTCAATTCCTCCCATGTAGGAGTTTTGGTTTTCTTCTTCCAAAATCTGAACCAATGACTGCCTCCACCTTCCATACT